GTCAATGTTGATAATATCATTAAATAAAAGAAAATAGACATTCCTTTTCTCAAAAAAAAAAACAAAACAAAACAAAAACAAAAATATATTCAGGCGTCATTCAAAAGAGAAATACAAACAAATAAAACTTTGTTAAGCAATCATTGATTGTATACACGGTCAATACCTTTAATATGATTGTCATCATCATCGACATCATTCACTGAACACACACAGCAAACATTTATTCATCCAACAAATATAGATGCATGATGATGATGATGAGGTTAAAATGCTCATTTTTATATTTTTGTGTGCGTATGGATATACATCATAGGAAAAAAGAGAGAATCTAAATATTCATCAATGCATAAAGATATCAATTAAAGATATCATGGTTATATTTGCAAAAAAACAAAACAAAAAACTTGTTCTATTTTACATAATGAATTGATTGTGTAACAAAACAAAACAAAACAGAAAAAATTGTTACAAATGAACCAATAACAAAATTTTTTCCAATTATAATATTATTGATCAAAATCGATACTGTATCGTGTATGTTTGATAAAAGAATAAACAAACAAACAAATCATGATCTATGATGATTGTTAAATGTGAAAGACGATATTTGTGTTGGAAAAAAATAAATTTTTTTCCTATCCAAATCTGTGTTGTGAGAAAAATTTCGCAATATTGTTGTTGTTATTGTCGCCTGTTCTATATTGATTAGATATTAGTTGCTAAATACCCTCATCATCATCATCATCAAACAAAGTAAAGAGATTGAGATAAACAAAAAATGCGGAAGAAAAAATAAGAAAAAAAAATTTTTGTTTTCCGTAAAATCAATACGATAGATTTTCTATTTGAATTGAATAATTTTTGAATTAAATTTTGATTGACTGATTGGTTGATTGATCGATTTGTAAATCTCATCAATTTGAATCGATAGATAATAATGATTGATTTGAATTGATTGATCAATCATTTTTACACTTGTTCGTTATAATCATCAAATTATTATTATTAAGAATGAATTATTTTCGTGATTACGTTGAAAATTGCTTTTGGGTGCCGGGCCATCATCATCATCATCATTATTTTTAATCCTTTAGTTAGTCTGTATCAACGGAAATGGAAACAACAACAAAAAATTCAAAGTCGACAAAATTTGGGTCACAAAACAAAATATCATTTTGATTATGAACATCAATGTGTGTGTGGGTGACAAAAATAAAGTCAGACAAAAAAAAGTACGCATCTTTTTTGTTGTTGTTGTTGTTGTTTATTCACTTTCTCCGAAAAAACAAAAATAATCGATGATCAAAGTCATCAGCCTTTTATCATATTGAAGAAATTCTTGGCATCGTTTTGAATAGCAAAAAAAAAAACACATGATGATGAGGATGATGAAATGAACAAGTTAATTCAACAACAGCAACAAAAATTAAAATTCTAATCTAATGATTGACAAATGATCAATCTTTTTTTTTTGTTGAAAAGAATTTAGAAAAAAAGGGGTAAAAATTAACATATATTAAAATCCATAAGATTTACTAACATTATCTATTACTATGGATCAACCAATATACTATTTACACAATTAAATTTTAAATGTAGATGCAATCTACATAGTTCATCGGCTTTCATCAGATGAAATATTTAAGTTTTTATATACACACACACACACAGACACACATACGTGTGTGCGTGTAACTAAAGTAGTTTTTCAACCATTTTGCGTTTTTTTTTTCAATCATCCATAATGAAAATGAAAAATAGAAAAAAAAAGATTAGACCCATCATTCATTCATTCATTCATTATGAATCCTGATGATGATAATAATGATTATTTCATTCTGTTTTTGATCATTCGAATAAATTCAAACGATAGATGACTATGCTAAACTAAAGTAATAGACTGGATTGAACTTGTTGCTAGTTGTTGTGTATATATATTCAAACAAACAACAACTCGATTTGTATTTCTTTGGTTCATCATTATTATTATTATGAATAAATTCAATGACAACGCCGGTGAATGGACAAAAAAAAACAAAAATTTAACATTTTTTCTCCGATTTGATCGATTGATGACGATGACCATTTATATGAAGAGAGAAAAAAACTATTATTATCATCATCATCATCATCATGATGGTCATCTATTTAATATGTCTGTAGAAAGTACGGGAGAGACCCGTATAGAAAAAAAAGAGTTATATACAACAACAACAACAAAACCAAATCACAAATCATAAAGTAGTGACTGATTGTTTTTATACAATTACTGGAAAATGAAAATTTCATTTTCATTTTTTTGGATATTATTTATCATTTAAGACAGCAGAATAGATTTACTTCTTCTTACTGTTTTGGATGATAAATCAAAAATAGAAAAAAAATTCGAGAAAAACCGGATCTACATCATTTTTAATCATCATCATCAATCGATTTTCTTGATTGCATAAAAATTTGATTTGTTGTTGTTGTTGTTTTGTTTGTAAATTGCATTGAGGATTCTCAACCCTTTTTTTATCATTATCAACAACAACAACGAATGATGATGGCGCCCATATTTATAATGTTCATTAATTGTAAAAGTAAAGAATTTTTTAGATTATTCGTAGTATTGAAAAGCGTAATTGGAAGCTGTTGTTGTATAAACAGATATGGACAATTTTTTGTTTTTGGTTTGGGCTTTGTGATTATGATCAAAAAAAAAGGATTAAATGAATGAATAAATGAAAATTCGAATTGAATAATTCAACAATCATTATATGAATTATACCTTCTGGCTATTTATAAACCCTTTAATCATTAAACATTAACTTTGTCATGGATAAAAATCAATTCAAACACACAAAAATTAGTTTTTAGTGTTTTTTTTGGTCGACATTTTCATGCTAGATTAAATTGCTGCTGTGGATATTCAATGGATATGGAGCGTTCAACAAACCAAGAAAAAAAACTCTATTTTTATAAAAATTTGTCTATATTTGCAATTTGTAATGGACATGATGAAATAAATTATCCCTAATATATCAAGGGTATTTAGTCAACAACAACGAAATAAAAATAGAAACAGGCTGAAGAAGAAGAGAAAAATAAAATTTTTTCAACCATCATTTTTTTTCTGTTTATTTGTTTTTAAAGTTCAGTTTTTAAAAATTCGGTCGAGAATCATATGATCATCATCATCATCAAACAGAATTTACAATTCTTTTTATGAGCAAATGATATATGCGTCATCGTTATTTTGTTCACAAAAAAAATAATAATAAAAAGACAAGACAACCACAATCTATCCAAAAAATAACCAAGTGCTTGGCACCGAAATTCATCCGATATCATCATCATCATTATCATCATCATACCTAAATCAGCTCCAAAATTCCAGACTTTAAGCAGTTTTTTTCTTCATTTCATTTCATTTCTTTATTTGATTTCATCATTATCGGAAGAAAATGATGAATGAAAAACAAGATATTTGTGCCGGTCTGTTGATCTGAAGATTTTTTTTCATTCTTTAATCATCATTGTAAAATATGATAGTAATAAGAATCATTAGTTAAAACTACGCAGAATTTTTCATGAAATTCAAAATGAACAGAAGCCAACTTTATCATCATCATCATCATCACCGCCATCACCATCCTCATTCTTTAGTTACTATGTGATGGTGTGATGTAGTGTGTAGTACACAAAAGATGATGGCAACGACAAAAAAAAAGAAAGAAAATGGCTTAGCCGGTTGATTTTAGTTAATTTTCTGATCAAAGTAAAAGGGTTGGTTTTTTTTAAAAAAAAGAGAGAAAGATTTATTAATAAATGAAATATGGTTAAGAGAAAGAAACAAAATAATGCGGGTGGCAATCAACTTTAACATTCATTCAACTTTATTTATTTGATTCTCAATTTTTTTTTCATTTCTATCTAACCATCTTTCTCTCTCTCTCACTTTATTCAATATGAAAAAAAGCCAAGATAGTAAATAGCAGCAACAACAAAAAAACGCTAAGGTTTTTTTAATTGTAATCGTTTATATAACCATATATTTCAAATACAAAAATGGAAAAAAAAAGAGTTAAGAGAAATCTGATTGAATTTTTTTTGAATGAATAAAAACAATGGTAATACACACACACACATTATAATTGTTTGTCAATTTTATCCATTTTAAATATGACAATGACAATCTGACAACGAGATAACGAGATAACAAAAAGAAGAAAAAAAAGAAACCCTTTCGGTATATTTTGTTAAAATACTCTGTTTGTTCTGTACAAAAAAAAATATTCTCATTGATAACAAGAACGAAGATGAAAATATCCAATGTATGTGTGTATGTGCAAAAGATCATATAAATATTGCACAGGTAGCAGCAAGCTTGATATTTGATTTTTGTGATAATTGTTATCGATAATTTTTGTGATGGCAAAAAAAAACTGGAAAAATGGATACTTTCGTGATTTCAAGGTAATAAAAAAAAGAGAGGATCCTCACAAATGTCACATAAGTAAACAACAACAACAACAATGACAAATTCAATTGGTCACTAGTTAGTGTGAAAAATGCTGTCAAATCATCATATATGAGATCAGATTGAGGCACCTTGAATAATGTTACAATGAACTTTTTTTTTGTTTGTCAAATTCGACAAGACGCCAAATTTGACAAAATGAATCTCTATATATTTACAACTATAACCAAAAGCCTAGAATATGTAATAAAAATTAATGAGAAATACGAATGAAAACAAAAGAAATCAAGATCAACAGGTTAAAGTTAAAAGGACAAAATTATGTAATAACAAAAAAAAAAGAAAGAAAAAACCGACAAGATAAGACATTACTAATCAAATTTGCTAACAAACAAAAAAACATAAGGCGTCCGGGCGCAAAATTTTTGTTTTGTTGTTTTTGTTTAAATAAATAATTAAGAGGCGAATTTTATATTTCATTTCATTTTCAAATAAGATAAAAAAAATTGAATGAACAAAAAAAAAACAAACTTACCAATGGAACATAATTCGATAAAAGTATTGGCATGACGACGTATGATGGCCTCAATCGTTGATGCTGTTGTTGTTGACGTTGACGATGTTGACGAACAAGATTGATGATGGTGATCATCATCATCATTTTTACATTTATTATGCTGTTTTTCGCATACAATAGATTCATCATCATCATCATCATCATGGCGACTAGTAGTAGATTTTATTCGTTTTGTTGTTGTATGATTTAAATTACGAATCGATGTTTTCCGTTTCCTCAATGATGATGATGAAATATTCAATGAATCGATATCATCACCAACATCGGTAACATTATCATTATTTTCAATATTTTTAGATATTCGCCGTACCGATTTACGTAACCTTTCAATATCGACATCATCTTGTTGATGATGATGATTATGATGATTGTCTACAATACTATATCGACGAATTCGATGACTACGTCGACATTGTTGTTGATTTTGTTTTTGTTTTTGTTGTTGTTCATTCAATTTTTGACAAGTATTTGTTTTCTTTATAATATTTGTTAAAATAACTAATAAATAATCCAGATAATCATTTGCAATGATTGAACTGACATCCCAGGATAATTCTTTTAGTATATGCTGTTCCCATATCTATAAAATGATTTTTTTTTAATAAAGAAAAAAAAATAGAGAAAAGAGTTCATTGGCTATTTAGTTTTTTGTTTTCTTTCAAAAGAGAACATTAAAAAAAAATACAAACCAGAATTTCTTCGACTGTAAATGCATGATCACTTGCATAGATTAAAAATTCCAAATCAAATGTATTACATTGACGAATTTTTGATGCAATCAACATACAAACAATACCGGCCAATTGTAAATGTTGTTTAGGTATATTTGGTTTTGCCAATATAAAACGATCCAAGTAATTGACCGATAGACTAAAAATACCGGGTTCACATTTATATTGTTCACATACCTTGAATATTAATAAAAGAAAACAGAAGAAATTAGAATTAAAAGATAAAATTCGAGACAGACAAACAAAGAAACAAAAAAGAAAAATCTATTTGCATAGACAAAAAAGAAGAAATCAATCAATATCGGATAATAAAACAAAACAAAATAAAGAAAAAAAAAATTCAAGTCTCTTTCATGTCTAGCGATGATTGGCATGTTTTATTTTCTTGTTTTTTTTTTATTTTCAGTTTTCTGCCCTGCACAACTACCAAAATTAAAAGAGAGAAAAAAAACAGGAAATCCCACATTCTGTACAAATTGTATATGTTGGCATATTGCATAGCGAAGGGGGTAAAAGGGTTAGAATTTTTGAAATTTTTCTGTCTTATTTTGTGCGTGTTAACAACACCAAACAAACAAACAAACATTAATAAAAAACACATACCTCATGCATCCATTCAATTAATTCAAAACGTGTTTGTTCATTTATATTATTTGTTGATGAACGATATACCATATCGATTATATTCCATGGTATATAACGATATTCAATTGATAACATTTGTTTAAGAATTCTTTCTTGATCATTCAATAGATTATAATCCAATTGACTAATAACTGTTTTTGGTTCATTCATTAGTTGTTGTTGTTGTTGTTGTCGTCGTCTTGATTGTTGTTGTTGTTGTTGTTGTTGATGGTGACTAATTGATATTCGATTTAGATTTGTTAAAGAAGATTTGGTTTGTAGTTGTTGTTGTTGTTGTTGTTGACTATCAACATAATCAATATTACAATCATATTGTTTTCGTTTTCTTATATTTCGATTATATGATGTTTGTTGTTGTTGATAATGATAAAGATAATGTTCATCATCACCATAATTTGAATGAATTGATGATTGAATTGATGTATTTGAATCATAACCAGATGAATCGCTTGTTGGTGATGATTGATCTAATATTGATTGATAATTGATAGCCATCCAATATGATGATGATGATCCACCATGATTTCTTTGTGAACGAATATTTAAATGATGATTTTGTCCTAACGATGATAATGACAATGATGGCGATGATGATGATGATGATGATGCAACATGTTGACTATGATGTTCATTAATCGTTGATTTAGTAGATTGTTGTTGTTGTTGTTTTTGTGATGATGGTGTTGGTGATTGTGGACTAGGTTCATTGCAAATTAATATTTGATGTTCCATGATTTTGAATCCAATTTAGATGATGATTTTATCATCAGTTATCGAGTGCAGGTAGGGGAGAAAAAAAAAGATTGTTCAAGATGATAATGATGATAACAGAAATACACAGCCAAAAACAAAACAAAACAAAACAAAAAAATTAGGAAATGGAAATGGAACAAAAGAAGATAATGTTTTTTTTCGATTTGAACATGCGCTTTATTTTTTTGCTCACAAAATTTTTTTTTTTTTTGAAAGATTATTCTTGTTGGGTCAATGTAGGTGTGTGGAGTTAGAATAGAATACAAAAAAATAGCGTGTATGTGCGGCGTGTGTATGTACTTTTTACGATGTACACGTCGAAATAGACAAAAGAATTTTTTTTATTTAGATTTTAAAAAAACAGATAAAAAAACAAACAAACAAAAAAAGTGAAAAATCAAAAAAATTTTTATTAAGTGAACAGTGATTCCAGTGATAATGGTGACAAGAATTAAATTTTTATTCTCTTTCTGAAATGATCCAAAAGAGCGTGTGTGTGTGTGTGATGGGTTAAATGATGGGAGTTTTTTTGTTTCCGAAAAAAAAAGAAAATTATTTTATTTTATTTCAATCAAATCTATGATATGATCGAATTCATAATGGATGGATGGAGAAAGGGAATCATGATGTTGATGATGATGATTGAACATTGGTGAAAACAAAGGGTTAATTCCAAGAACTTTGATGGGAAGGATTATGAAAGTTATGAGGAATTCGAACACACAACATTTTCGACAAAACATCGAACGAAAAATCATTCGAAAATCATTTCATTTTTTCGAAATTCGAATGTTTCGAAAAACTTGCAAAAAAATCTTTTCTTTTCTTTTTCGATGACACATAGAAAATGAAAATGAACGAAAGAAAAATATAAAAAAATTTTTTTGGATGCGACCAAACAATTCGAATGTTGCAAATGAAAAAAAAATATCAAAAAAATTTTAAAACAAAAAAAAAATTCATCAATGATGATTGTCGCGATCATTCAAACGCACATCTTATACATAACGTCTGAAATGAAAATTGAAAAATGAAAATTTTTTTTTGTCATCAACATCGAACGATCAAATACAAAATGTGTTTGATGATATCGAAAGGATCTATCATTCTAAAATGTATGCATAGATTTTTTTCATTTTTTCATTTCTTTCCTCGGGATATATATTATATCGTCTGTACGCGCCGGTTCTTCTTTCGTCTGTCTGTGTGGATGATGATAACACAGGGTGGTAGCGGTATTGTAATCATCATTGAACAGAAATGAATTCCTTTATCATTTTCCAAAAACCAAAAAAAAAACGAAAGCAACAGATTATATACCCTTACCAATTTTGATGTTTTCAAAGTAGTAGTGGTATATATCAAAACAACAAGGACCAAATTTCATAGCATGCGGAATATTGCGGAACTTATCAATTGATATGTATGTGTTATTTTGTTTGTTATTGTTCAGTCGATAATGCTACTACCTTTTTATCTAACTACCTACCTACCTACAGTTTATCAGTTTGGGTCCGTTTGTCTTCTGTTTTCATTTTGGTTGGAATCAAAAAAAAAAAAAAAAAAAATGCGAAACAGGCAATAGAGTTTTTTGGGTTAAAATAGTAAAATGTCC